AATGTATGAGAGTGCCGGTCTTTCCACAGCATTTTCAACAGAATATGTTGTCAAATTGATTTTTTTCTGATTAGAGAAGAATCTTGGAATAGTTTTTGACAGTTATTGTTTCTTAAAACTTTAAAAAGTTAAAATAGGTACATGCTTACTGAGGAAAAGGATTAACAGTACATTAGTACATAAAATGAAAATGGTTCCTCAATGCCCTTCCACTCTCATTCACTGGGTATAACACAAACTTTGATATGACACACAGACAATTTTGCATATATAGACGTACACACTTATACTTGTTTATTATTAAGAATGAGAATGCAGACTGTAAATAGTCAGGTATCTTAACCAATATGGAGAATAGAGTGGGTTGGGTGGGAGGGACACATTTGTTTCTGTGTACTCTTTTGCATGTTTTGAATTTTATTATGTGTGGATGTGTTGCTTCTTTAAAAAAGACTTTTAAAAATTACTGAGGACAAATGCAAATGTTAGGGATATTCAGTTACCCTCAGGATTTAGATTATTTGTGCAGTGGGTACATTCTCAAATGTTTGAGTTTTAAAAATTAATGGTAATGTAGCACATTTTAGGAAGCATTTTAACATTTGTTAGTAGTACTAAGAGGTAATTTACATTTTTGGTTTTAACACATTTTGGACACTTGTATCACCTACATTGTTTTTTGTTTTTTTCCATGCAGAGGATACATGGTAATGGGCGACTCTTTCAATACTTCCTTATTCAAGCAAACTTTTCAAAGAGTTTTCACCAAAGATATGCATGGGCAGTTTAAAATGGGTTTTGGTGGTACATTAGAAATAAAGGTAAGAAGCAAAAGTTGACACGTGTGGTATGTTATCAAGATAAATTTGTAGGCTTGATCATAATTTTACCTTTAGTCACATACAACATATGATTTAAAAATAGTGGTTATATTATATTGAAACCCAGTGTTAGAGATTTTGTTTATTAGAAAGATGTGTCATTATGAAATGTACAATGAAATTTTACTTGAGCATTTCTGCATAATTGCTAGAAAAGAAGATATATAGGTAAAATTTGCTTTAACTTATTTTTTCTTTATGTAGGGTTTAACTTTTTTAGTGCATTTGATCTTTTTTAGGGCTGAATTTGCTTATGCTAGTGCTAGATTTTTTTAAAATTGCAGTAATTGGTATCTAAGGGAAACCTGTTCTGTACTACTTGAATAATCAGTAATTGTTTTATAGTTGGTAGGTTGTTGATATTATTTTTTATCATTCATTTCAAATTTTAATAATGCAAAGGCTTAGTGTTAGTAACAAGTGCATGGAAAGCACATTGATACTGAATTTGCATTAAATATTTCTTGCTATTTTATTGAATGCTTGCTAAATGTCCAGCATTAAGCTAAGAAATTATAGAGATCATAAGGGATATCTAAAGCACAGGTCTTCTTATAAAGAAATTTAGTTTTGATAGAAAGACAAGTTTAATATAGAATAGATTGAAATAATAGTAGATTATGAAAGTGCTATAAAGGTTTAGGAATGAAAGGTGAATGTATCCGGGATACAATTTATCCTAGAAAATAACAATTTTATCATGACTTACACTGGGTTTTGAAAATGGCAGAATTTAAGTTGGTTGAAGAGAATGCATTTTAGTCAGGAGCCCAGTGTGAGGAGAGACATAGAGGTGAGAATCAGCACAGTATGTTTGGGGAAACTGCCCAGGGAGAATGGATGGTTTGTATTGGAATGTAAGGAAAGTAGCTTAACTCTCTGTGTTGGTTGCAGTTTGCAGATGCACGTGTAGGCTGAAGCAGCTATTGTAGGTTAAGGAAAAATAGAAGCTGGTGTCTATGGTTTTGAGTTAGAACATATTTTGGGTATGGTATGATATTTAATTGAGGGTGAGTTACCAAATGGAGACCTCCTCTGGGCAACTGAAATAGAGGATTAATGTTAGGTCAAGGCTAGATTTTAAATTTGGAAGTTAACATAGAAGTATTCATTGATTAATTATTTTAACATTGTATATTTTCATTGAACTTTAAATGTGGAAGAAAATCTTTATTCTTATATACTTATAGTTGAATGTTTGAGCTTATCTTTGAGCACAGCAAACTGTACCATGTTCTCATTTGCAGACCTCAAGGGAAATAAAAGTTTCAGGAGCTATTGGACCCTGTGTGTCTCTCAATTCTAAAGGACCCTGTGTGTCTGAAAATGTAAGTCACCTTTATTCTAAAAATAAAGTACAGTTTAATTCTCAGGACATAACCAACAGAGACCTGGGTGGCAGCTTATAGCATTGCTTTAAAAATATTGTGTGGACTCAGTTTTTTAGTAGAATGTGGCTCAGCTTCTATCGGTATACCTCTGTTTGTAATTGCTCTGTCTGAATACCCCTTTTCCCACTAACTCCTAAATTAAAACTTTTGTACTGTCACCAGTCTTCTATTTTTTATGCCTAAGTTATTTCTTACCCCAGTGTGCCTAAAAACAACAACTATGATTTAGAAATTTGGAGACTTCTGAAAATCAAAATTAATTCTGAATTTTTTTTGTTAGTAGAATCTACAACAAAGTAAACAAATTAGACTTACGTTTCAAATCCATCCTTACTATTCCATTTAGTGGATGTACAATGCACTTAAAAATGGTAGAATTATGTACTGTTATTATAGAGAGGATTATGGGATAAATAACACAAAGTGGGTAAACATCTTTAAAATGACTGAGTTGAAAATTAATTTTAGGTAGTTTACATGGTGAAGATTTATTTCTTAAAATTTTTTCTTGGGAATAAGACTGCTTAGCAGTTCTGATCCAGAGAACTTGTATTCTTTTTTTTTTTTTTTTTTTTTTGAGAAACTGTATTCTTATGTGCATATATTATGTGTTAAATCAATATTTCTTTACACATATCAAATAGTTCGATAGAAGGATGTTAGTTGTAATTACTTCATTAAATGGTATATACTTTTTTAAAGTCTTCAATATGGAGAACTTATCAACACTTTTGTATTTACTTAGCAAAAATGTGAATTACTTTATAATTTTATTGTGTAAAAATTGCTTAATTTTATTTGATGTTATATTTCATATGATTTAACATTTTTAAGTTTTTAATATTCAATGAATTTGTTAGAAACCTGAAAGGGATGTTTTCTTACTGGAGGTTTTATTCCCCTTCTTTTCACCTTGGTATATATTATAGTAATAAATTATGTTGTCTAATTTTCAAACATATTATATGTTTTATTTCTACAGGAGATAGGAACAGGTGGCACTTGTCAATGGAAGATATGTGGACTTAGTCCCACTACAACCTTAGCCATATATTTTGAGGTTGTCAATCAGGTATGACTTTTTATATTTGAATATTGAAACCTATATTTAAACAAGTACTTAATTTAGGCCATGACTTTTTCGTATTTTTTCTTCCAATAATAAATATAACCCAAAGCTTGTTTTATTTTGGAGTTTTTGTTATTTTCTATTTTTCAAAGCTAAACTCCTTGTGAGAGGACATACTATAATAGAAAGAGATGTCAGGGAAACTGGCAGATGCCCAACCTTGGGCAACCCAATGTAGTCTCTGGTTTTTTTTTGTTTTTTTCAGAGTTTAGGACTTTTAATTTGTCCCATAGCTGCTGAAGCAAAATTAGGATAAAACATTCTGCTTTCCTTTATATCCCAACACACAAACAAAAAAACTATTTGTAGGAAAAAAATGGTTTTGTACACGGGAAGAAACAATATAAATTCAAAACTTACAGATAAGGGTTAGCTCTACCACTCATCACTTTAAAAAGTTTATACGAATATCCAGTCAAAACCAACAGGTTATCTTCTTTGAAATGTTATCTAAATGGATTTCCAAGTAGACCACAGGACTGTATACTGTCTTGGAATGTCCTTAAAAGGCTCTGTCATTGATCAGGTAACAGAGTAAAAACACCAGAGTCCTTTCTTTTTCAAATGGGAGAAGGAAAGACAGGGATAGAAGAAACTATTCAAACTTTGTCCTCTTTCCTTGTGGCTTATGGTCTCCCCCTCCTCCTCTGCCTCCTTGAAAGCCTCCTCGACCTCCAAAACCTCCCAGGCCTCTGCCACCAAATCCACCTCTGCCTCCACCACGACCCCCGAAGCCACCTTCACCCTTAGGCTTGGCCCAGTCCAAAGTAACTTTGTTTCCATCAATTTCACCATCTTCCATGGTCTCCTTAGCGGCTTTGGCATCTTCCTCACTGTTGAAGTCTCCAAAACCAAACCCTTTGGAAGAGCCCGTCTCCCGGTCAGTGACTATCCTTGCCCGGACAGAGCCATCAAATGACTCCTTCAATGTCTCTTCCGTAGTCTCCTCAGACAGACCTTTGGCAAATAGAGTTTTGGATGGATGGCTTCTTGCATTAGGCAATCCTCTGGGTCCTTGCAATTCCAGCCTGATTGCTCTGTCCTCAATTTCTCTTTTATTACAGTAATTTAAAGCTTCTTTAACATCTTCAAATGAAGCAAATTCTATGAATGCATACCCTTTAGATTTGCCATTTTGGTTCTGGGGCACTTTGATAAAAGTTGCCTTTTCAAATACTTCCTGAAGAGTTTTCTTCTGTTGCACTGTAGGAAATGTTGCTTAAAACCAGAGTTTTTGATTCACCACTCCAAGTGCTGTTCTTTCCACCTCTATGGTCTTGATTTTGACCTTTCTCTCCAGTATAGTACAGAGAAATGGATTGCCCATCTATTTTCTGTCCCTTGCTTTTCTTCCAAGGTTTTCTCTGCATCAGCTTCTGTCTTAAATTCAATATAAGCAATCCCTTTACTTTTTCCATCCTTGCTGACTAATCTGTGTCTTTGTTTTTAAATATAAAATGGAAGCATAAGTAAAATCTTAAATTTTGTTCTAGTTATGTAGTTTTGTAATTTGATATCTAGCTCCTAATTGTGACAAGGTACATATATGTAATGATATATGAGTCCGACAAGAAAGTTTTCCCCCCGTAATATATTTTTTAAAATATGGAATTCTTAACAAATTTGTGTGTCATTATTGCACTGGGGCCATGGTAATCTTCTGTGTATTATTCCGTTTTAGTCTGTGTGCTGCTGAAGCGAGCACAAAAAAGTTTAATATGTCAAAACACATAGAAAAAAATTACTAGGTAAAGATTCCGATATTACCAACTGGCGTGGCTCAGTGGTTGAGCATCAACTATGAACCAGGGCACATGCCCGAGTTGCGGGCTCCATTCCCTTGTAGAGGGTGTACAGGAGGCAGCCAATCTATAATTCTCTTTCATCGTTGATGTTTCTATCTCTCTCTCTTCCTTCCTCTCTCTCTAAAAATCAATAAAGTAAAAATTTAAAAAAGATTCCAATATTTGGAAAGATTTTTTTTTGCTACAGAATGAAGTTATATTAAAGAATGATTTTTAATGTATAAATTACGATTTATATGCCACTAGTTATTAGGCATAAAATGAACCACAGACTATTAAGAATCAGCCTTTCTAACAGTTAAAGTTTGAGAAAAAGATAATGGCTGTTATTGACCAAAACAAACAAACAAAATCAAAGCAAGAATATCTATTGTCAAAGGGCATGAAGAAAGTATTTATTTTAACTACTTGCTATTTCTTTCTGAGGATCATTACTATAATCATTACTCTCTTTTCATTAATAGTTTTCTATTGGTCATCTGTTCATCATGTGATTATCTTCCTAAAAGTTCTGTTTTCATTTTACATACATAGGGGAGTATGACTTAGTTCAGTTTCTCTTTCCAATTACTATTAGGCAAAATTGCCTCACTCCTTTCCTTATCCATTAATTTCTTTACACTTCTTCCTTAATTTCTTCTTTCATATCCTTCTGAATTATGTATTACATGAAATTGATATCCTTGGACTCACTCCTATCCTTCATCATTTTTCCCCTTTGCCAAATCCAATTCTCTTTTATGTGACATATCACAGCTGTTTTGTATGTACTGTAAAAAACATTCTTCTAATTGATATAAGAATTAATTTTATTAGTGCTCGGATATACAGCCAATGACTATATGACAACAACATAATAGATTTTGCTTATTTTTACTCCTTTACTTTTAAACAGCATAATGCTCCAATTCCTCAAGGAGGGCGTGGTGCAATTCAGTTTGTGACTCAGTATCAGCATTCAAGTGGGCAGAGACGCATTCGAGTGACCACCATTGCAAGGAAGTAAGTTGTATTTATTAGAGATTTAATTTACATATCAACACTATTCTGGATTGTGCTCCCAAACTGGGTTCCTATTTTGAGTGATAGCCATGATTGGAAAATGAACATTTATGATTAATAGCATTTTATTTCTTTCTAGCCCAGCTTGTTTGCTAAAATATTCATTGTTAAGAATTGTAAAGCAATTTAAAAATCTATTTCTAAGACACATTTTACAAAATATTCTTTTATTTATCTTATTCCCCTGAGAGGAGGAGAAAAGCTAATATTATCCTGTTATAAACAATAATAATATATATGATGTATTATATATCTGTATAATAACTGCAGCCCCTCCCCCCTGCCGGTCCCGCCCCTGATCACCCCTTACCCCAATAGGGGGCGGGGCTGGTGGCCAACTGCCTGAAGCCCCTCCCCCTGTCAGCCCCTGATGGGCCCCCACCACCCCAATGGGCCTGCTGCCCTTCCCTCCAGCTGGCCGCGCCCATGATTGCAGCACCCGACCCCAAAAAGGGGCGGGGCCAGCAGCCAACCTCCAGCCCCTCCCCCCACCTGGCCCCACCCCAGGTCTGCCCCCACCCCGATCAGGGGCAGGGCTGCTGGCCAACTGCCTGTGACCCCTTCCCCCAGCCAGCTCCGTCCCCGATTGTCACCCCACACCAATGTGGGTGGGGCTGGCTGGCCAACCTCCCACGGCCCCTCCTCCAGCCCTTGACCCCCGATCACCCCACCCCCACCCCATTTGGATGCAGGGCCGGCCTGCCCATCATCCACAGCCCTCTCCCTATAGCTGGCCCTGCCCCCAATTACCCCATCCAATCGGGGGCAGGGCCCACTGGCCAATCGCCTGTGGCCCCACCCCCCAGCCAATCCGGCCCTTATCGGGCTGATCAGGGCAGGCTGGCTGGCCAACCTCCCACTGTCTCCTCCTCCCGACAGGCCCAGCCCTGATCTGCCCCGATTGGGGCCTGGCTGGCCGGACCCCACCTGTGCACGAATTCATGCACTGGGTCTCTAGTATTAAAATAAAAAGCTTCTGCACTGCAAAAAAAGCCATGAACAACGTAACAAGAGCCCACTGTATGGGAGAACATATTTGCCAATGATATATCTGATAAGGGTTTAATCTCCAAAATATATAGGGAACTCATACAACTTAACAAAACAAAGACAAACAATCCAATTTAAAAATGGGCAAAGGGCCTAAATAGACACTTCTCCAAAGTGGACATACAGAAAGCTAAGAGACATGAAAAAATGCTCAAAATCACTAATCATCCAAGAGTTGCAAATCAAAGGACAATGCGATATCATCTCACACCTGTCAGAATGGCTATTATCAACAAATCATCAAACTACAAGTGTTGGAGGGGTTGTGGAGAAAAGGGAACCCCAGTACATTGCTGGTGGAATATAGACTGGTGCAGTTATTATGGAAAACAGTATGGAGTTTCCTCAAAAAATTAAAAATGAAACCCGCATTTGATTCAGTGATCCCACTTCTAGGAATAAATCCTAAGAAACCCGAAACACTCATCAGAAAGTATATATGTACCCCTATGTTCATAGCAGTGCAATTTACAATAGCTAAGATTAAAATCAGCCTAAGTGCCCATCAACAGATGAGTGGATAAAAATACTATGGTATGTTTACACAATGGAATACCAGGTGGCAATAAAAAAGAAAGAACTCTTACCATTTGCAACAGCATGGATGGACCTGGAGAGTATTATGCTAAGTGAAATAAACCAGTTAGAGAAAGAGAAGTATCACATGATCTCACTCATGTGGAATCTAATGAACCAAATAAACTGATGAATAAAAATAGACCCAGAGACATAGAAGCCTGAATAGGCTGTCAAACTCAGAGGGAAAGCAGGGGAGGATGGATGGGAAGCGATCAATCAATGAACTTGTATGCATATATGCATAACTCGTGGACACAGACAATGGGATGGTGATGACCTGGCTGGGATGGATAGGAGTAGGCTGGAAGAGGTTAACAATAAAGATTAAAAATATATAATTATAAAGTCATGCTTATATATAAAAAACAACAACAATTTAGCTTTACACTTAAAGGAACTAGAAAGAGAACATACAAAGCCCAAAGTGAGTAGAAGAAAGGAAATAATAAATTTCAGAGTAGAAGTAAATGAAATAAAGTCTAAAAAGCAATGAAACAATCAGTGAAACCAAGAGCTTTTTCTTTGAAAAGATAAACAAGATTGAGAAACCTTTAACCAGACTCATCAAGAAAAGAGAGGCTCAACTAAATAAAATCAAGAATGAAAGAGGAGAAGTAACAATTGACACTTAAGAAACTCAAAGGACTGTAAGAAAATATGAACAACTATATGCAAACAAAATTGGACAACGTGTGTGAAATGGGTAAATTCCTAGAAACACAGTCTTCTGAAACTGAATCTGGAAGAATCAGATAATCTGAATAGACAGAGCATAACTAGTGAAATTGAAGCAGTAATAAAATTTAACAAACAAAAATCCTGGACCTAATGGCTGCAAAAGTAAATTTTACCAAATATTCAAAGAACTAACCCATCCTTCTCAAACTATTCCAAAAAATTCAAGAAGAGGAAACACAGCCAAGGTCTTTTTATGAGGCCAGCATTATGCTAATTACAAAATCAGATATAGACATTACAAAGAAAGAAAATTATAAAATTTTTATATAATTATAAAATTATAAAAGATTTTAAATTATAATTTAAAATCCTCAGAAAAATTAGTAAACCAGATCCAGCAATACATTAAAAAGATCATACACCATGCTCACGTGGGATTTATTCCAGGTATGCAAGGTTGGTACAGTATCCACAAATCAATAAACTTGATACACCACATAAACAGAATGAAGGATGATCATATCAATAGATGCAGAAAAGGCATTTTATAAAATCTAGCACCCATTTATGATACAAACTCTCAGTGAAGTAGGAAAAGAGGGAACATACCTCATCATAGTAAAGACTATACACAAACCCACAGCCAACATCATACTCAGTGGGTAAAAACTACAAGCGTTTGCCTTAAGATCCAGAAGAAGACAGGGATGTCTACTTTCACCAATCTTATTCAATACTAGAGGCCCAGTGCATGAGATTCATGTACTGGGTGGTGGTGGGGGGTTCCCTTAGCCTAGCCTGTGCCCTCTTGCAGTCCGGGGCTCTTGCAGTCCAGGACCCCTCGCTCTTGCATTGAGCATCTGCTCCCTGGTGGTCCGTGCATATCATAGCGACTGCTCATTCCGCTGTTCAGTCAATTTGCATATTACACTTTTATTATATAAGATAGTACTGGAAGTCCTAGCCACAGCAGTCACACAAGAAATAAGAGGCATCCAAATTGAAAAGGTAGAAAACTCATTATTTGGAGATGACATGATACTGTATAAAGAAAGCCCTAAAGATTCCACTGAAAAACTACTAAAACTGCTAAATAACTTTAGTAAAGTAGCAGGATGCAAAATAAATATCCGGAAATTAATTGCATTTATATACACCAAAGGGAAACTAAGAAAATAAAACCTATTTATAAGTGCATTTAAAAAAAATTCCCTAGGAATAAATTTATCCAAGGATGTAAAAGACCTGTCCTTGGAAATTAAGACACAGAACAAAGAAATTGAATAATACAGAAATAAGTTGAAACATATAACATGTTTATGGGTAGGAAGAATTAACATCATTAAAATGCCCATACTACCCAAAGCAATCTATAGATTCAACACAATTCATATCAATATATCATTAGCATATTTCACAGAACTGGAACAAATATTCCAAAAATTTGGACCCAGAATAGCCACAGCATTCTTGAGAAGAAAAAAAAAAAAACAAAGTTGGAGGAATCATGCCACATAACATCAAACTATAT